AAAAATTGAAAAAGAGTGCCAAGAACATCCTTCCCTTCTTGCTTTTCTTTTTCATATTTTTGGTATACAAGTTTCAATCCATCCACAAGTGATGCCATTGTGTAGAGAAAAAGTTTTTCCAAACAACCACCCAAGTGCTTTTAATCAGAAATAATTCTCAGAAGTTCCAAAATCACCAAACAATCCAAACAAGCTGTTTCTTTTAAATACTTTCTCCTTCTTCACTTTCTCTTTCTGGGGTTAAAGTTTAGTCACAAAGTTCCCTTTAAAATATATCTTTTAGAAGTCTTATTGATGTTATAGTAACTCTTTAGAATTCTAGGCAATCTTCTCCTTATTTTCAAATTTTGCTCCAATTTTTTTTCCCTCTCCCCACTCACAGCCAAAAAGATTTTTTTTCCCCCTTTAAATGTTCAGAAATCCTTATCCCTTCAGCATTCAATTACCTCCAATGCAGGTTTTCGGATTTCTCTTATGATTCCATCCGCTGTCACGTTAGGAAGGAGAGTGAAACGGAAAAAAAAAAAACCTTCCCTTTTAGGATATTCGCCGCTTGTAACTCTCTCTGGAAACAATGTATCCTTAGCAGCCTTCAAGATTCCAGGGCACTCTCTCTTACTTTGTCCCGGTCAGAAACAACTCTCACAACTCTTCCCACTTTCTTCCTCCTGCACGATCTTGTCCGGTTGCAGGTTTCTTCGTGACGGCCATTACTGACTGCCGCTCCTGCCTTGGGAAAAGGAGGTTTTGCCGGGTGGGGAGGGGGTCTGCGACACCCCCAAACCCCTATCCGGATCCCCCCTGTCTTCAGCTGCCTCTACGGGGCAGCTATATCCCCCAAATCCGCGCGGATCGGGGGAACCTTGGCAGCGAATGCAGCAGGGATCGCGCATAATCGCGAATCCCTGCCGCTGCCGAAACCTTGCAAACCGGAAGTCCCCTGGAAAAACATTTGTTTTGAGGGAGGTCCTTGGAGTGGCAGTTATTCCAGATTGTCTGGTTTCTTGACATGGGTTGAGTTTACAAACTACAGGTAGTCCTCAAGTTACGACCACAATGGAGCCCAAAATTTCTCTAGTTAAGTGAGACATTTGCCCCATTTTACCACCTTTCTTGACCCTTCTTGTTAAGTGAGTCACTGCAGCTGATTGTTAAGTAAATTTGATTCCCCCCATTGACTTTGCTTGGCAGAAGGTCGCAAAAGGGGAATCACATAACCCTGGGACACTGCAATGGTCAGGAGTATGAACCAGTTGCCCAGCATCTGAATTTTATTCACGTGATCATGGATGGGGATGCTGGAAAGGTCATAAACTCTGAAAAGTGGTCCCAAGTCACTTTTTTCAGTGCCGTTGTAACTTGGGAGGGTCACTAAACAAGCTGTTGTAAGTTGACTGCCTGTACTAAGCCAACACTTAGTTTGCTTGCTTGTGGCATAGTCTGTGATTTATTTTCTTAAGCTATGGCTAAGGAAGCCAAAGATAATCCTAGATTTTGCCAGTATTGCGTGCCATCAAGAGTAAGCTATGCTTTGGGCCGACCGAG